TTTATTTTCAATAGATTTGCAAAAATGTCTAAAAACCTGTTTTCGCTTTGTCATTATGGGGTATTGTGTGTAGATTGATGAGGAAAAAAAGTAATTTAATCAATTTTAGAAAAAGGCTGTAACGTAACAAAACGTGGAGAAATTCAAGGGGTCTGAATAATTGTATGCACTGTAGGTATTACAGACTGGGTCAGGTAGAGGTTGAAAATGTCAGTGAAGACACTTGCTAGCTGGTCAACGCATGCTCTGAATAAGTGTCCTGGTCATCTGTCTGGCCCCTCTGCCTTATGAATGTTAACCTGTTTAAAGGTCTTACTCACATCAGCTACAGAGAGCGAGATCACACAGTCGTCCGGAACAGCTGGTACTCTCATGCATGGTTCAGTGTTGCTTGCATCGAAGCAAGCATAGAAGGAATTTAGCTCATCTGATAGGCTCGCATCACTGGGCAGCTTGCGGCTGGGTTTCCCTATATAATGTGATAGTTTGTAAGCCCTGCCACATCTGACAAGCGTCAGAGCCGGCGTGGTAAGTGTCGGTCTTAGTCCTGTATTGATGTTTTTACTGTTTGATGGGCTCGTCAGAGGTAGTAGCGGGATTTCTTGTAAGTGTCCGGATTAGTGTTCTTCAGGTCCCGTTGATAGGATAGTCTCGAAAGGAGCTCGTCCAGTTTGTTCTCTGGTGATTGTACGTTTGCCAGTAGAACAGAGGGTAGAGGCGGTTTATTTACTCTCCGGCGTAGTCTCGTCAGGGAGCCCGCTTGTTTGCCTCTCTTGCAATGTCTCTTCCTCTTTCGAGTCCCGGGGATTAGGGCCTGGTCCGGAATGAGCAGTACATCCACAGCTGCCGACTCGTTGAAGTAGAAATCTTCATCCAAATCGAGGTTAGTGATCACTATTCTGATGTGCAGAAGCTGTTTTTGCTCATAGGAAATGCTGGCGGAAATATTCGGCACAAAAAAAGTTAAGATCAGCGTAAAAAAACACACACAAAATAGCAGGATTGGTCAGGAGCCAGTAAGATGGAAGCTATCCACTGCAGCCCCACAACAGGTGCATGGAATGAATCTTCTCATTATATGAGCTGCCAGAGCGCAGCACTGTTCAGGAGTTGTGGTTCTGAAACCAGTGACCAGTCAGTTTATGGTCATCGCAGCGCTGTCCATGGTGCTGAATGTTTGCACATTCCCTGAGGCTACTTAGATTCACTGCGGATTCTATCATTTCAGTTACAATAGACAGACAACTTGTTCTGGCAACTCAACGACACACAGGGCTGTGGTGTCACAATACTATTTTCCAACAATCTTTTTTAGCCAGCTAGGTACCCTGTAATGCGTGGAACCAGCTTCCCCCTGAAGCTTGGATAGTCCCTGCCTAAACATCTGAAATTGTAGGTCTACCCTTATCTTGCCTACATTTGACATTTTAGTCATTTAGCAGACGCTCTTATCCAGCGCGACTTACAGTTAGTGAGTGCATACATTTTTCATACTGCATCAAGGCCTACCTGTCTATTGGAGACACACGTTACAATAGACTACGTATTTACATTACAGTCAGCTGTGGTAGACCACAGTGCAGCCTATACTGTGGCCACACAGTATAGGCTGCACAGAAACTACGAATTTTGATGACTTGCCTCAACTTGGCTTGGATGCCTTCTTCATTCTCATGTGAGTCAGAAATTATGTCAGTTGCATAGCTCTAACCTGTTTCACAGCTTGCAGCGGATGTAGCGTGGGCGGACGTTTGCAATTCATCACAGCTCTTCCGAGAAGTGATGCGGTTCCCAGTGCTCTCAGCTGCTAGGATGAACGGTGTGAAGCGCACTTTATTTCAGTTTCGCTAGACTACTCCGCTGCATTGTATTGTAGGAGAACAATTAAAAAACGTAGCTAGCTAGCGGTAAAATCGTCATTTCACAGAAGTAAAACGAGGTTACATTGACAGAGGCACAAGCACAGCAATGGCCCTGAAAAGAATTCATAAGGTAAGGAAGTAACGTTAGCTTGCTTCCGTTCCGTGCTAGCTAACAGGCTATCTAACGTTAATCTTTAGCCGCTTTTGGCCTTCACTTTTTAGGCACGCTTTCGAGCTACTTGTAGGCTACAGCAAGAAGAAAGATTGCTAGCCCAAATTACCTAGCTATTTGATACCACTTTCGTCGTCTGCCGGCTGGTCAGTGGCTACCAAAGCCATATATTAGCTAAGTTAAATATGGCTGGTGGCTACTTGTGATCACAGATATATATTTGCTTTTGAAAACCAGCTTGCTGGCTACTAGCCTAAGTAAAGGTAGCTCGCACAGTTTAGCGACATATTACAACATCGATAACTAATGAAGGTAGCTAGTTAACAAGCTAGCTAACTTGAAGTTATTTGCTACTAGCTAGCTAGGTAACAGTTAACGTTAGTTAGTTTGATTTAACAAGCTAGTTAGCTCGCTAGTTAACGTTAGATATTTAAGAAATGCTATTATTAACGGTAACGTTAGCAACCTAACTAGCTAGTTATGTAGCTAGCTAACGTTAGGTAGATAATTACTGGTGTGGTGATAGCTGTATACAGTAGCTAGCTAACGACCTAACATTAGCTCGCTAGTTTGGCTAGCTAGTTTTAATCATAACTTGATAAGTGTAACGTTAGCTGACGTTAGTTTCGGGGAAGTCCTCAGTCCGTCATAGGCCTGCTATTCCTGGTTCCTTGCAAGTAACGATACTGTACTACTTAGCTACTTCCTACTGTAGTAGTAGTAGTAGTTCAATTTAGTCCAAGTCAAATCACGTTTGGCATAACGTTAGCTAAGTTAGTTACAAATCGGCTAGCTCTAACTTTGTTCTACCATTGTCTTCAGTATCAAAATTAAGTTATGCTCTGCTGCTTTCATCTGACACAGGCTGATCAATGATAATGATCCATGAAAATGATTGATGTTGACAGATTGCTACAGTAGACTTATTTGAAAGGAAAATAAAATAAATATCCATCAATGTCATTCTGAACATCCCCGTGTTTCAATTAGGATAATTAACTGACTTTCAGTTGTGTTGCCGCATAAACGATGGTCAGGTCTGACCACGATGTTGTTGGTGGACCTTGACATTAGTTTAATATTGAAATATTTGTTGTCAGATGATGTAGGCCGTAGCCCACTATTAGACCTCTGATTAATTATTTCATTAATTAATAAGACGAGGTCTAAGGGCATTCCATAGTGACTGCATTCGAGAACTCATGGTCCAATGGCTGTACCTGCTAGCAGCACAGCCTGGTCTCATAGACTAGATGTAACATAGTAAATGTAACTATGGGATACTCAAATTGGTATGATACACTTTATATACAAAAGTATGTGGACACCCCTTCAAATTAGTGGATTCTGCTATTTCAGCCACACCCGTTGCTGACAGGTGTACAAATTCGAGCACACTGCCATGCAATCTCCATAGACAAACATTGGCAGTAGAATGGCCTTACTGAAGAGCTCAGTGACTTTCACCGTGGCACCATCATAGGATGCCACCTTTACAACAAGTCAGTTCGTCAAATTTCTGCCCTGCTAGAGCTGCCCAACTGTAAGTGCCTGTTATTGTGAGGTGGAAATGTCTAGAAGCAACAACGGCCCAGCCGCAAAGTGATAGGCAACACAAGCTCACAGAACAGGACCACCGAGTGCTGAAGCATGTAAAAATAGTCTGTCCTTGGTTGCAGCACTCACTACCGAGTTCCAAACTGCCTCTGGAAGCAGCATCAGCACAATAATTGTTCGTCGGGAGCTTCATGAAATGGGTTTCAATTGCCGAGCAGCCGCACACCATGTGCAATGCCAAGTGTCGGCTGGAGTGGTGTAAAGCTTGCCGCCATTGGACTCTGTAGCAGTGGAAACGTGTTCTCGTGGAAACGTGTTCTCTGGAGTGATGAATCACGCTTCACCATCTGGCAGTCCAACGGACAAATCTGGGTTTGCCAGGAGAACGCTACCTGCCCCAATGCATAGTGCCAACTGTAAAGTTTGGTGGAGGAGGAATAATGGTCTGGGGCTGTTTTTCATCGTTTGGGCTTGGCACCTTAGTTCCAGTGAAGGGAAATCTTAACGCTACAGCATACAGTGACATTCTAGACGATTCAGTGCTTCCAACTTTGTGGCAACAGTTTGGAGAAGGCCCTTTCCTGTTTCAGCATGACAATGCCCCCGTGCACAAAGTGAGGTCCATGAAATGGTTTGTCAAGATCGGTGTGCAAGAACTTGACTGGCCTGCACAGATCCCTGACCTCAACCCCATTGAACACCTTTGGGATGAATTGGAACGCCGACTGCGAGCCAGGCCTAATCTTCCAGCATCAGTGCCCGACCTCACTAATGCTCTTGTGGCTGAATGGAAGCAAGTCCACGCAGCAATGTTCCAACATCTAATGGAAATCTTCCCAGAAGAGTGGAGGCTGTTATAGCAGCAAGGGGGGGACCAACTCCTTATTAATGTCTGTTAGCTAATGAGTCCTGCAAAGCAGGCAGGTGCTGCCGCAGACGGGAAGTAAAATAAATGTGTGCGTGAGAAGCTACAACAAAACATTGCCATGCATATTAGATTTTGATTTGGGGGCATCTAAATGGGATTTAATTGTTTATTTTCACTGCTCGGTGATGCAAACGGCGATTCTCCAATCAGAACCATCTACCGATTTATGGCTCAATCTTCAGACACGGGACAATTGCTATTAGCAGGTACAGTCATTGGACCATGAGTTATCTTCAACGTAGTAGCTATGGAATGACCTTAGACACCTTGTCTTATTAATTAATTAAATAATAAACTAATATTGGGTTAGCCTAGGCCTATGAGCTTAGGCCTGCTACTTCCAGCCCACATTCAGCGTTGGAGACATGGTATGCAGTTTGGCTGAACTACTGAAACCATACATATTGAAACAATACATATTGTTAAAGTATTATACTTTTCTGAAGAAATTAGAGCTCTTTTCTTTGTCCCTAGGAGTTAAATGATTTGGCTCGTGACCCTCCAGCACAGTGCTCCGCAGGACCTGTTGGAGATGACAGTAAGTCTCCTCAACCACTCAACACCACCACCCACAGTTCACCGTCCAAAGCACATCTCTAACACCACCTATTTCATTCAATGTTCTTGATAAGATTATATCTTTGTTAATCATAGAAAACAGGATTTGACTCCAAAAGAAAACTGTTGGCAATGAAATGTAGCCTGTAGATACAAGCCAATAATGATTGATGACCAGTGGTCTTCTGCATCTTGGCACGAAAATCTAATTTAAACAATGTACTTTATAAAGGTGCTTATAGTGTATTAAAAGTGTTTTCTCTCTTACTTAGTGTTTCACTGGCAGGCTACAATAATGGGACCAGTAAGTATACCCTCCTGTTCTTTGTAGTTTAGGGGTTCACAGCTTTTGCTCTGGGTCATGTAGTAGTAACCATCTATTTTCCTTTCTACAGAATGACAGTCCGTATCAGGGTGGTGTGTTCTTCTTGACCATTCACTTCCCCACTGACTATCCCTTCAAACCACCAAAAGTAAGGGATGTGTCCTGGAACTCAGCTATACATTAGAAAAGTGTTGGCAGACTTTTAATGGAGCTATGAACTAGACCTATATTGATGGAAATAATAATAATTCACAACGGTTTGTTTTCAGTACATGAGATGTAACTGACAACCAATTCTGTCCCGTCAGTGTGCTAAAGGAGATGATGTAAATGCAATACATTTGTGAGATACAGTAAAAACAATGTGTCCTCTAAAGGTTGCATTCACCACAAGAATCTACCACCCAAACATCAACAGCAATGGCAGCATCTGCTTGGACATCCTGAGGTCGCAGTGGTCGCCAGCACTCACCATCTCCAAAGGTAAGCCCAGAATGGGGCTCTTGGTTTATGTTTTGTATGTGGGTCTAGAACATTTGTTTTGGGTAGTTTAAACCAGCATGGTTTTGAATTTTTCACAACAGATTCTGGTAAGTACACTACATGACCAAAAGTATGTGGAAACCTGCTAGTCAAATATCTCATTCCAAAATCATGGGCATTAATATGGAGTTGGTCCCCCCTTTTCTGCTATAACAGCCTCCACTCTTCAGGGAAGGCTTTACACTAGATGTTGGAACATTGCTGCGGGAACTTGCTTCCATTCAGCCACAAGCATTAGTGAGGTCGGGCACGGATGTTGGGAGATTAGGCCTGGCTCGCAATCAGCGTTCCAATTCATCCCAAAGATGTTCGATGGAGTTGAGGTCAGGGCTCTGTGCAGGCCAGTCAAGTTCTTCCACACCGATCTCGACAAACCATTTCTGTATGGACCTCGCTTTGTGCACGGGGGCATTGTCATGCTGAAACAGAAAAGGGCATACCCCAAACTCTTGCCACAAAGTTGGAAGCACTATGCATTGATACAGGTATCGTTGTCCTGGAATCCGCCAAACCCAGATTTGTCAGTCGGACTGCCAGATGGTGAAGTATGATTCATCACTCCAGAGAACGCGTTTCCACTGCTCCAGAGTCCAATGGCGGCGAGCTATACACCACTCCAGCTGACGCTTTGCATTGTGCATGGTGATCTTAGGCTTGTGTGCAGCTGCTCTGCCATGGAAAAGTTATTGTGCTCGTTAGTGAGTCTTGTAACCAAGGAAATGTTTGCCCTGCTTGAGCTGCCTTGGTCAACTGTAAGTGCTGTTATTGTGAAATGGAAACTTCTAGGAGCAACAACTGCTCAGCCGCGAAGTGGTAGGCACTTACAGTTAAAAATCATCGGTCCTCTTTTGCAACACTCTAAACTGCAGTCTAATGGCCTTACTGACTTACTGAAGAGCTCAGTAACTTTCAACGTGTCACTGTCATAGGATGCCACCTTTCCAACAAGTCACTTTGTCAAATGTAATTAGTGCCAATGTTTGTCTATGGAGATTGCATGTATGTGTGCTCAATTTTATACACCTGTCAGAAACGGGTGTGGCTGAAATAGCCGAATCTACTAATTTGGAGGGTTGTCCACATACTTTTGTATATATAGTGTATGTCCCAAACTATGCTCATTAACAGGTCAGAGATGTACATTGATTGTCACAGTAGATTGTCAGAACTGTGTTGACTCTGTTGTCTGTCATCCTACAGTCCTCCTGTCCATCTGCTCACTTCTCTGTGACCCAAACCCAGATGACCCTCTAGTGCCTGAGATCGCACGCATCTACAAGACAGACAGGGAAAAGTAGGTCTTACACAGTTTCAATATTCCATTTTTTGGGGGGGGAACAACCTGTCTGCTACAAGGATAACGATTTTTTATTTTTTATCCTCCTGTCATTCCAGATACAACAGAATAGCCCGGGAATGGACACAGAAATATGCTATGTAGTCTCAAGGCATTACAGTGGAAAATCTGCCTTTTTATATTCAAAGGCTTGGGGAGCTTTGAATGAAAAGAGGAAAAAAGTATTGTTGGTTTCCTTTGGAGTGATTTCTTTGAGCCACACCCTCCCTCTCCCTACGCACTTGACCTCCTTCCCGCTGCCTCACCCCCTTCAACCTGTCCAGCTGCCATGATGTACATATTTGAGACTGCAAATTGTATACCCCTCCACTATGTCCAACAGGACCTATGTAGGACCACTCTTATTTGATTCCAATAAGCATTCCTTATCGTTTTTATGAACCCAAGGTTTGCTGTCCCAAGATTGAGGGATTTTATGTCTGTGCTTTGTTTCTCTGGTTGTTTTTCTCCCTCTGTGCTTCCAGCTGTCCTGTGAGATGATGAGCGGGGCGGCAAGAGAAGGGGCTTGGAGAATGTTTTTGTCTATTCTATTTGGCTATAATAAGAAATAGCCATCAATCTGTCAATGGTTCTGGAAACCTCTAGGGGACTTTCTCTGTTTGGCAATGGGATGCCCAGGATCCCGCCTCATAGCCCCTCCACAATATGAATCACTGTCATTTAAGATCATTGTTAGGTACCCATGGACCCTTCCACACTGTATGATGTGGGACAATAAAGTAATGAGACAGATATCTATATATCTACTGAATATTACATCCAAAATGACTGTTTTCCCTCACCCTAGTCAAGCGAAATACTCTTGTAATGTTGATTTTGCTAAAGGAATAAGCTAGTACCCTTTTAGATTGCCACTTGCACCTTCATCAAATTATTTTAGTTCTCTCAATTGTGTCAAGTCTTTGTCTTCTGGGTGATGGTCTGATTTTAAAACGGCCAAAGTTTGGATCCAAGTTCGGCAGCTAAATTGGGTGGTACTAGTAGACTGAAATGGTATTAATCCAGCTTGATCGTCTATTTTTTATCTACATTCTTTCTCTTTGGCTTCAAGTCCAGCCTGAAAGGACAAAGATTTGGCATTAGTAATAAAGCATGTTGTTTGAAGGCAACGCCAAAGGACAAGCTCTAAAATGTTTTAAGCAAGAGTAGCACTAGACAAATATGATGGACTTAAACTGTCTAACCACAAGTGGGCTAAATTGAAGGAAATCAGTCAGATTGGGGTGTATTCTCATAAAATAAAACGGTGACCTCATTATTCTGTAATCACACTTTGTATATTTGAGCTGCAATTGTTGACATTGAAGCTCCAACGACTCCCTGTCTGGATCTCAGAACCCTGGACTTGAGTTCCAGACAAACAAACTTCTGTATATTTAATTACCTGAGAGCTCGTTGAGCTTGTGTCTTAATTAAACTGTAATAAACATGATTATTAAAGTTGTGGGTTATCACTGTTTTATTTAGTATTGATGCACAAATGTGTGTGCATTTGGAATTTATTTGAAGGCTTTCTCATTTTGAAAAGTGATTAATATTTTATACAATTTGTTAGTTTTGCATGTGCCCTATTCATGTTCGAGATATATTGCTGAGGTTTTGATAGCAACAAGGAAACCTACTATTATTATTCCACCTGATTCATACCAGCACTTTGTCTCACTCAGTCCCCTTTTACAGCAAACTCTACACTGAGGCTTAAGACTTCACCTAGTTGTTGTTCTTATTACTGCCAACTCATTTAATTAATTATTGCATTATTTGAAGCAAAGTTACAGAACCTGCAACTACTCTAGCCTCGATTTCCAGTCGTATATATTAGTGCTAAGCTGCTATGATAGTTGGAAGTATGTAATATTTAAGAAACAACTGATGTGAGCAAGACTACAACAAAGCTGGGCCAAGATCAGCATAATATACTTGGACCTATTCACCTGCCTCACCATGACTAAATTATTTCCAGGCAGTAAATTCGATTTTTCTATATATTTTTCTGCCACTAGATGGAGCTCTATCATTGGGTTTGGCAAACATTTTAGTTAGATTTTTCATAATGTACCTAACTGTTTGTGCCTTTCATGAGGGCCACAATCAGCTAGTCACTGTGGAATGTACAGGATTTGTGGAAGTATAAATTAAGTTAAATGTCATTAGATACCACAAACAGTCATTATATAGATATGACCTATAACCTCTATGTCCATATTATGGGTCGTTTGTGGCCTATTACATTCTGAGTGCAGAGAATGAACGTGTGATTGGTTGCTGCCTGAACAGCAAATCGTTGTTTAAAGTTCCACCAGTGTTGACCACCAGCAGCCCACTGCAGTTTAGAGCGATGAGGATCAGGTATAGTCTACTCCACTGCATGTTTAAGTCCTATACTTTGTGGTGAGGAAATGTACCCACATCGAAAACCCATATAACCTACACAAATATGGTTATTTAATTCACTCCAGGGCCCAACTCCAATGTCTGTGTCCTTGAATTTGGCAACACTGAGGGGACTGATGAGCCAAGAGGAGGAGTAGAGGGGAGGGAGGCATGGATCAGCTGCAGCCACAGAGAGAGGTGCCAGACAGATGAATGGGATGAGCCTCTTGACTAAGACAGGAGGCATAAGGTGGGGAAATCAACAGTGGTGAGGTAGTGATGTGGGGTTAGGCTGGCCAGAGGGGGAGTGGGAGAGCTTGCATAGCTTGAAACTTTCCTTAATGTCTGAGAAACCGGACGTCCATCTATCTTTCTCCATACACTCTCTCTCACTCCTCTTTTATGTTGTTTTTAGGTGCTCTTCTGTGGCACTGGTCATGTGTGCAGCTGGAAGAGGCCGTGTAACACTAATGCTCGGCCCGCTCAGGAAAGTACTCTGCCTTGCTTCGCACAGAGCGAAAACAACAAAGAGCTGAGTGTGGCTGCAGCCCCAGGCCTCAGCTCGCCCACCAGAACGTCTCCTGTCACAGCTTGCTGCTCACTCCTACCAATGGCCTCTCTCACTCACTCACTCACTTTATTTCCACCTCTCTCTCTGACTGACTCACCACCCACCACGTGAAAAAATGTCATTTTCGAAACTTTGATGCCTAACGTGTGTGTGAGAGAGAGCGCGCGAAAGATTGACTTCTGAGGGTCAAGAGCAGGAATGTAGACAAGCCTAGAGCGGACAGGAAGAATGTGGTCGGTCTGGGCATTGTAAAAGAAAAAGCGCCAATGCACTTTAGGATACCAAATCCAAGTGAGGACTGAAGTCTGCGTGCTTTCAATCAATTTGAAATGAGTGGGCCTATGTGACCAATTGCAAGAGTTGAGTTATAATAGTGTAACAACAACACCTTTTGGTAACGTGGTAAATATGGACCACTTGCAGTGCAAACGCCAACGCGCTGGGTCAGGCTTCCCCAACTGGCTGCCAGTGTGGTTTTATTTGGCTCCCAAGTTTTCTAAGCAAATAAATAAATAAATAATAATAATAATTGTTTGTGGATTTTTCATTGTTGGACATAAATGACTGTAAAAACATCAGGAAATCAGCGCCAAGTTATTTTAATTTAAGAAATCTCTTCCCAAAGTATTCCAACGCATAATAGAGAGACGTTATCATATACAAATGTAATCAAGGTTTGAAATAATTATATTTTAGTCAAACATTATATCTGTTTGGGCTTCTAGATGTTAATTTGCAGTCTACAAATTATTTGTAATTATGTCGTCCTCGTCGTCGTCCCCCTGTCCCGTCCCCACCATCTGCTCCAGAAAAAGTCGGCCCGAATCTAGTTGATGATCCCTGCCCTAGGTCTACTCCACTATGCACATGCCTCAGAGCTTGGAGTCGGTATGGCTGGTGGTTGGCATTAAAGTAATTTCCAAAGGCGCAAATGATGACGAGGGGATTGGCATCTGCTTAATATGAGATAGGGTGAGACCAGGCATATTGCCAGAGCCATGCTAGACACCAGAGATTACGAAGCAATGCGTGTCCAATTTATGCACGTTGTCGGGGAATGGATGCGTCCATTGTGCAATTACCTCGAACAGAACCATTGCCTGCACCGCCACTCAGTAAACAGAATCCTAGAGAAAAAAACAAACTAATAATAAACTTAAAACCAAACAAATAAAAGTCGTTATAAGAGATAATCGTCCAAACAAACAAAAGCAATGGAATGCAGATGACCTTTTATCACATTTTGCTATGGTATTTAAATAAAAGATAAAGGTGCTACTGCTACCAACAGCCCACTTAAAACACGAACATATATGTTGAGGATAGAAGCGCTTGGCTGGGTTACAACAAATGGCATGTTAAACAAACAGGGAGAGAAGTAGTCACGAGAAACCAAAACCAAGCGATTCACAGGGCTACATTAGGTGGTCATCCTTGAGCTAAGGCCTACCTGTCACGTGCTCTTCATTAGTGATTTAGCCATATAACATGAGTTGAATGGCGCTTAACAACAATTCAACTTTGGTTTCAAACACATTCATTAAGTCTATATTTGGTGCGTCAATGGATGGCTCTTGGGTGTCCAAATAATTCCAATGTTTAAATATTATGCAATGCTTCAACATTGATGATAAAGTTGGTTATTTTTATAGGTCATGTCATGGGGATGTCAATTACAATTAGCGTTTACCAATTACATTATTTGTTATTCTTTTTGAGATGTGAGCACAATTCACATTAATGCATTACTCATTACGCATGAAGTTTCTCTGCTTACACTTTATAGTAAACGCAGCCTTGCTGCGTTTGGTGACAGATAAAGGTTTACTATTCACTGTGTGTGTATATTTGTAAGCGGGTGTATTTGTGTGCCGGAGAAGGGTTGGCTGGCTAGTACCAGTGTTAGAACAACCCCTCCCCTCTCTCTCCCTCTCTCGAGCTGCCGCGTTATTTTCCGGCTCGGAGCCTCAACCGCACGGCTCGATCGATTCGCATTGATTGTCCCTGACGAGCTGCTCCACTTTCTAGCCAATGTCAGCCCGTCTGCGATCGGGAAGGAGAGAAATGAAGGAAAATCTCTGCCGCCCTGGCGGTGTCATTTCCACACACTTCGGTTGGCCGCCTGCCAGCAGACAGGACA